CTTGTATTTTTTTAATAATTAGTCTTAGCAGAATTCATATCAAGAAATACATGAAATCAGATTAAATGAAATTAAATATAAAATTCGTAATCTTATCAGTTAGTCTAGAGTGAAGTTTATAACTATTATTAAACTAATCATTTGACTGTGTCTGAGATCAGAATCAGAAAATTTAACAATTTCATTATTAATTTAACTAATCTTATTACATAATTTTAAGATTAAATAGTAGTTTTATACTATCTTAGTAAGACTTACTGTCTACTCTTATTACATTTTTTAAATAAGAGTATGATTTTCACTTCTTAATTTAAATTATTTTTATTGCTTTAAATAACTTTAAATCTTATTTAAGTGTTATTAAAAAGTGTTACTTTTTAAAAAATTAAAAATAGTCTAAAAAAAACCTTAAAATGTCTAAAAATAGTAACTTTATACTAAGAATGAGACAAAATGAAATTTACTTTCTTATTTTTTCTAAGTTATGATCTTATTTTGAGATCTGATATATAGTTACTTTTAGACTGACTATATAACTAGACTGACCGTGTGACTGTGTCTGAGACCAGAACCAGATTTTTTGATAGTCTTATTATCAATTCAACTGATTCCATTACACAGTTTTAACATTAGATAGTAGTCTCATACTGTCTCAGTATAGACTGGCCGCTGAGATCATGAATTTCACATTTAATCTCATTTGATCTGATTCTATACATTTCTTGGCATGAATCCTGCTGAGACTGGCTATTAAAAAAACATGTAAAGTGACTATATATCAGATCTTAAAATGAAATCATGACTTGAAAAAAATAAGAAAGTGATCTCATTTGATTCTATTTAGTTTCATTCTTGGTATAAAGTTACTATTTTTAGACATTTTAAGGTTTTTTTTAGACTATTTTTAATTTTTTAAAAAGTAACACTTTTTAGTAACGCTTAAATGAGATTTAAAGTTATTTAAAGCAATCGAAATAATTTAACTTGAGCAGCTAAGTTCATGTTATCTCTTTAAAGTGGTCCAATATTTAATAAAAGTATTCAGGGATACATGAAAAAA